GTGGACAAAATCAAATGTCGAATCCCTTGTCACGTAGGCATGAGATGGGCATATGTCGTCACACGAGGCAGTCCCCAAATGACAATTAACAGCAGTTAAGTTACTGTGATAGTAAGGGCTTAATTGCATCTATTGTAGAGTTTAGGGGCTTATATGCATCAATTAAAGTTTGAGGGCTTAATAGCGATTCTAGGGTTAGTTCAGGGGCTTAACTTATGGTTTTGCCAAAAGTAAATGCAGAACTGATTTTATCTTAGCTTTCTTACCTTAGCACTGATCTTTGTAGTGGTTGTACAACAGTACCACCCATCGCCTACAAACAGTTAGCATAAGAAAATAATTAAGTAGAAAAGCTCCATGTTAGTAACAGCCCCGATTATGAGCTATGTACCTTGTAATTAGTTTTTGGTGGATATTTAAATTAAGAGTAATAGTTAACGTTGGCACTTAATCCTTCGGGTCAAGTGGTTTTCGGAATACCTTGAAAGTGCAGTCCCTTTTCTTTTTGGTGGGTTAAAAGTTCGAATCCTACCATGACACTTTGTTCAAAAAAAGAAAAAAGAAAAAAGAAAGAGTAATAGCTAATGTTGGGATTTCAAAATGTTTTTTTTTTGTCCTAAAGGCAAATATGTAAAATAAAGCATTTGGATGATAAGTTAACCCTTGGATCAGGTAAGAAACTATGCACTATGCAATTCATATATATTATTTCTTGCACCTCTCTATTTCCAGATGAAGTTCAAGACTTTCATTTCCTTTCAATCTTTCATCTGAAAAAAAGCATTCAATTGCCTCCAAAATTGTTTATGATTTCATTAACCTTTTCAGGTTGTTTTGTTTGAAGGGGATTGAAAAGATCAATTTTACATTAGAAATATCTATATTGATGAAATCCAAAAATGAGCTTTCAAAATGATGTTCTTAGGCAAAGCCAACCTTGTAAACTCATTGTTTTGAGCCAACAAGTTTAGACTATTTGACCAGGTATATATGATGCACCACAATTGATAGTTAAGGATACTTTTTATAATAAATTTGTAAAGAAAAGTATAAAAATAAATATTAATTTTAGAGTCAATGTTATGTAGATAAATTTAATTAAATAATTAATAAATTAAATATTATTTTTTATTTTTTCAAAATTCTTAACCTTTGTTTTAAGAAACAGGTTTAGAAAAACAATGTAAATTGATCTTCTTCCTAGCTCTTGATTTTAAGGATGAAATTGTCCTTTTGTATATGGGTAAGAAACCGACAATATTAATGGACAAGTTATCTTCTCTCTCTGGTTTTGTTATTTTTTATTTTTTTATTGTTAAATCTCAATTATCAAAGGTCTCTCCACACAGAAAGGAGGAGCTTTTGACCAAGGAAAATCTTATAGATTTAAGGTTTTGGCACAAATAGATCTGGATCAATCATTCCTTTGTTTGAAAATTACAGGGCATTGGTATTTTTCTCCTGACATTGCTTGCCATATCGAGGACAGTTTAAGAAAATATATGAAGGTGGATGCAGTAATGCTTGGGGGTAGCATTATGCTCAGATTATTTCAAGGTGCAAGACTGTCACATTTAATCCTTTAACACAGACAAAGTTGTAGATGGACTTATTAGACTAATTTGTGTCATACCAGACGAATTCATGGACTTATACCTGTGAGTTCATTTGATAATTAATTGGACAATTTTTCTTTGTTCAGATAGCACACTAATTAGGACCACCATTTTTAATTTCTTTTTTCAGTATTCATCTGCTGTATCATTTCAAAAATAGCAGAGAAATTGTGAGGGTGAGTTGCGACAACAGCAAGAATGTGTGGTTCAGCTGGATCAACTGTTCTTTGGTCTTGGTTTATCACCTTTGATGAGAAAGGAACAAGCGGATTCATCAACAACAATTTCAGTCAGTAATGATGCTTGTTGGGGCAATTTGAGGATAAGTTAAAGTTTGTAGAAATAATGCTTTGTTTCTTGGTCTTCCACCACATTGGATGTTGATGATGTTTTCAGCACTAACAAGTGTTGAGCTTTCCCCTTTTTTGTCTTTGTGCTTGCAGAATATACTCCAAAGTCACATAGAATTTTACTCTGAATATTATAATGATATTTTGAGTTCTGATCCTTCATTTTATTTTTGGCCGTTGCACTTAACTTGTTTTAACCATTACATTTTTTAATGTTTATAATGCACTATATAAGTAATTGAGATTTATTTCTACATATTTAATTAATGTATAGATTGTATTGTTTTCTTATTTTAAAAAATGTTGTGAATTCAATTAAAATAGACTAAAATTATTATGTCAAATATAAATAAATCCTTAATATTAAAAATTATTTTTTATTTATTCAATTTTATTTTATAATTTAATATAATTAAATGGTATAACAACAATTCTTCCTTATTACCGTTATGGGCAGAGGACAAATGATGCCTTGTGAAACCCGACATATCCACATGAATGCAAAATTGCAAATGGGAGATGGGACCCTTCAAGATTTCATAGGAATGAAATTAAAAAATAAAAAATGATTAGGAATAATTTTTTTCATTATTTTTAATATAATGTTATAAATTATTTAAATAATTAATTTTATTTATTTAAAACTTATAATATCAAATTTATTTATTTAATTATAAAAACATATAACACAATTATCTCAACATCATTATATTTTAAAAGTCATAAAAAAAATTCCGGAAATTAGATGAAAAAGGCCAAACGGCAAGAGATTGCGTATCTCCTCTTTTTCTCTTTAATTTGCTGGCTCAATAATTGCAGGCAATGGCGGTCTTTCCTTTTCTTTCAATCGGACCTCCAACTCCAACTCCAAATAAAAGGAATAGAATTCCACGTTCTAAGTGGGAATCGAAGGAGAAAGTAGACGACACAGAAACAAAAAGGAATAAAGAATAAATAAGGGTCTTTTTAATCTGACCCTAAAAAAATAAAGTTGAATTTTAATTTTAATAATTAATTAATTAAATTAAGATATTTAATATTAATATTTAATTAATATTAATTAATTTATTTATATATATA